CAAGGAGCACCAGAATAAATCTCTCAACAAGGTTAGAGTCAGTGCAGCGTAGGGCCACAAGGTTGATGGCCGGTTTGCAGGGGATGGGGTATGAGGCGAGACTGAGGGAACTGGGTCTCTTCAGCCTGGAGAAGAGGAGACTCAGAGGGGATCTGTTGGCAACATGCAAGTATGTGAGGGGATGGCACATGGAGATGGGTAGAGACCTGTTCTTCCCTGCAGAGGAAGGCAGGACACGCTCCAACGGAGCAAAGCTCAGGAAGCCCAGGTTCCAGTTAGATGCCAGGAAGCACTTCCTGACAGTTAGGACCCCGAGGGTGTTGAATGGGCTTCCACGAGAGGTCGTTGAGGCCACATCAGTGAGGGTGTTCAAAGATAGGCTGGACATGCACATGGTGGGCATGTCGTGAGCGGAGCCGGCTGGTGCCAGAGGTCAGACTAGATGGCCCGGGAGACCCCTTCTGACTCGCTCTGTTTCTATGTTTCTATGTTTTTAACCTGTCAAGAAGAGATCCAAGCTTCCGGATTTTGTATTCTTCATCCAAGAAGTTTATTTGATTAGGTATGTCATTTTATTCTAAAGAATTTTATGAAAATAGTTTAATGTTTTACGGTATACAGAAAGGCAAAGGTTTTATCACTCTGAAGTTTAGTGAAGGTCTTCCATACACAAACACTATCTACAAGTTAAGCCGACTCAAAATATCTAAGCTGGTTGACATGCATAACTTTAATTTGTTCGCTAAGAGATGGCCCCAGTCTCTGCTAGAATGTGCCACTGAAACCACTTTCAGTGCTACATTTTGTGCATGAAGGGATTTCAGGATTGCTTCCTCCCTCTGAATTAATCCTAAACTGACTTTTTAAGAATGAAATAGTGCTTTGGTCAGCCAGCAGACCTTGTAGTAAGAAAGTGTCACCAAAGATGGCTTGATTAGTTGGACTATATAGCTGTGTTCAGTGACAAGGTATTTGCAGTGAAACCCAACCTAAATCTGATGGCTTGGATTTCAGTTTATATGCAATTAACAATCAGAATTCAGAGTTAGAAACATAGAGCGAGTCAGAAGGGGCCTCCCAGGCCATCTAGTCTGACCTCCGGCACCAGCCGGCTCCGCTCACGACATGCCTACCATGTGCACGTCCAGCCTATCCTTGAACACCTGCACCGATGGGGCCTCAACGACCTCTCGTGGAAGCCCATTCCACACCCTCGGGGTTTTAACTATCAGGAAGTGCTTCCTGGCATCCAAATGGAACCTTGGCTCCCTGAGCTTTGCTCCATTGGAGTGCGTCCTGCCTTCCTCTGCAGGGGAGAACAGGTCTCTACCCATCTCCACGTGGCATCCCCTCACATACCTGTATGTCGCCAACATATCCCCTCGGAGTCTCCTCTTCTCCAGGCTGAAAAGACCCAGTTCCCTCAGTCTCGCTTCATACGGCATCCCCTGCAAACCGGCCACCAACCTTGTGGCCCTACGCTGCACTGACTCTAACCTGGCTATATCCTTTCTGTAATGAGGGGCCCAAAACTGAGCACAATACTCCAGTTGCGGGCACACCAGAGTCGTGTAGAGTGGTAGTAATACCTCTCCTGATCTAGAAGCCACACTTCTGGCTATGCAACCAAGGGTGGCGTTTGCCCTCTTGACCACCACATCACACTGCTGGCTCATGTTTAGCCTGCAGTCAACCAGCACCCCGAGGTCCCTTTCACAAGTGCTGCTCTCCAGCCACTTGTCACCTAACCTGTACTTATGACACCCATTCCTATGCCCCAAGTGCAAGACCTTGCACTTATCCACATTGAACGCCATCCTGTTGTCTCCTGCCCACTTCCATAGTCTGTCCAGATCCTTTTGGATCTGGAGTACCTGCTCCTCAGTTGTGGCCACTGCTCCAGTTTTAGTGTCGTCTGCAAATTTGATCAGCGGACTGTTCACCCTTTCTTCCATGTCATTAATGAAAAGATTAAACAGGATCGGCCCCAGGACAGAGCTTGTCACTGGCCGCCATCCCGATGATTCCCCACTAATGGTTACCTTCTGCTTTCGGTCAGTCAACCATGCCCTAATCTACTGGACAGTGCTTTGGTGTATCCCAAAACTCCTCAGTTGCTCCACCAGGATATCATGGGGCACTTTGTCAAAGGCCTTGCTGAAATCCAGGTATACCACATCCACTGCATCCCCTCCATCTAGCCATCTCAAACCCTTGTCATAGAATTCCACAAGGTTTGTCTGGCAGGACCTGTTTTTGCAGAAGCCGTGTTGTGTGGCTGTCAGCCTCTCTTCCCTATCTAGCATCACTAGATCTCTCTCTATTATGAGTCTTTCCATTGTTTTTCCTACAATGGACGTAAGGCTAACAGGTCTATATTCCCCATGTCCTTTCTAAAACCCTTTTTGAAAATTGGGACCACTGATGCCACCCTCCAGTCCTCTGGAACTTCACCCGTTCTCCACAAGGCCTAAAAAATGGAGGCCAGCGGGTGTGAGAGAACCCCTGCCAACCAAGTACTCTCGGGTGTAACCCGTCAGGGCCCAGCACCACTGTAAGGTCCAGTGCCCTGAGAAGCCCCTCGACTTCAAGGGGGGTGACTCTAATCCGTGCCCCTAAGTCCCCAGCCTCATCTAATCTCCTATGCGATCTCCCCCATCCTGCTTTGGGGAGAACACAGAGGCAAAATAGTCATTTAGCATCTGTGCCTGTTCCCTCATATCAGTCACTGGATCTCCTTCCTCCTTATTTGGTGGTCCCACCACTTGTCTCCCCTTCCTCTTCCTATTAAGAAACATTCTTCTAAGAAATGATACCAGAGCTCAAGAATATTCTTCTAAGCCACTTGCTCACAGGTTTATCTGTTCTCTCACTTTGCATTGTTTGTTTCTTGTATTTTAAAGTTTAATGAATGGAGTGGAAGGGAAACAATCTATCATTCAGATCTAAAAGGGGGGCGGGATTCCACAGGGCAACACAAGTGAAGAAATATGCTCTTAATGGAAGGAACTGCACATTGAGTACATGGGTTCGGTACATTACTCTCCTGCACTTCATGCTCAGTACTGTCAATTGCCCATCACTTCTGAGGCAGAAACAAAGTCAAATTGGTTAGTAATGAAACATTTACACATTTGAAAGAAGGGCATCAGTGTGCTTGTGTGTGTGTGAAATGATTACCTTTCAAATCCTTGTTATTTCACCTGTAAAGCAACTTTACTGAATCAGGATACTTGCTTAAGGATAATATTTATTTATTTGAAGCTTTAAAATAACTAAAAATATATAAATGAAAGTACAATATAGTTCTGACTTGCTAAGTTTTAGTTCAAGAATAATTCAATTCACTAATACTAATTAATGGGTTAGAGCGTTATCATTTGCAAAACCCAGACAAATACGAGCCAAGGACCACATACCACTTGCAATCCAAAAATGCACGGAATATTGTATGTCATATATTAATCTTTGAGCCACATGACCACCAGTCTCTAAAGCAGGCAAAGGCAAATGAAAACATCAGAAGTAAAGCACTTGGACCCCACTGAATTATAAGGAATTACTCTTCTGCCTTAAATATTCCTAAAGGTCTCTACATATAGTCAGTGTTGCCTCTAGCACTTAATCGTATTAGGAAAAATAACGCTAGAATATTCAGGAATTTTTCAAAGACACAGGTGACTGAAATTTACTTTGCAGGACTTACATAATCCTTTACCAATATAAACTCCTCTGAACTTTCTTTCCACCTATAAATCAGAACAGATTCATGTCTGATAAATAACTGGGACTATTTACTGAAGGTGCGAACCCATGAAGCAATGTAAACCTACTATATACCAGGGAACCACCCAAACCCAGTCTTGCATCATTCAGATACCTGTTTACATGCAATTTTGTCACTAGCACAATCCAAAACTACAAATTCATTTGAAAAGAAAAAAGAAAAAAAAGGACAAGCACCTCTGCTACTTTCAGGTATCTTAAAAGTCAATTCGAAAAAAATCCTGGAGCCTCAGTCTAGCGTTACTTCTGTTTATTTATAACAGTGCGGGCAGATGACTCCAACCAATCACAGCGAATCCAGCAAACTGCATAGTTTGCATAGCTCAGTCAGTTTACTCACATGGTTCCTCTCAGCTGGATTTCAGTACAGTCAGGAATTTGCTCAAGGACTCAGTTGTGTCCCTACACCTATCTAGGGTTATGAGTATGATCTTTTGGATATTTTTGGTTATAGATTATAATTATTCAACAGTACCAGCACTATATTCATATCCATTTGAAGAAAGAGCAGCACATCTGTTAAAACTAAAGCACACTGCTTGGCTCTGCTCTGCACAGAAACAGGAAACATAACCCCATCGTGTCACATTTCCAGCCATTTTTAATGCAAAAGCATTCGAAAACTCAGTTCACTGAAACATCTGCTAAGCTCTTGTAGCCTTAGCATGCGATACTTTTTCTGCTCTCCTACTTGCCAACACAAACACTTGGGTTTAAGGAGAGCTGTGGCAACCATGACAATGTCTCCTAATTTTAAATGTGGCAAAAGTCAGTAAGATGCTATGAGGACAATATCTCAGGATTGTTGTTCATGCTTACTTTTAGAAAAACATCAGCATTTCTCTTCTTTCCTCCAAATCCATTCCATTCCTACAATGCCATCAAAGAATATTGCATTCTATAGATCTGATTTCTTTCTGATCCTCTGCAGGAACTGAGGATTTTCCCTTAGTTTCAATCAATTTTTCCTCAGTCTCCTCAATTTTTCACCTTGCACGGTATATGTGTACACCTTGTACTAAATTACATGAACACACGCACATTAATCAAACAGCAATCAAAGCAGTTCAGTAATGCTCACTCTTTTAAACTTTCTTGCTCATAGGAATCCTTGGCAACATTAGGAGAGAACCAAAGTTAAAATGCAACACCTGGATTTTCTGAACAGTCACGGCTGTTCAAATACAAAGATATATAAAACATTATTCACTTACCATGGACTTGGTGAAAGGCCGAGCCAAAGTAAACAGCACGGTATACACCCACCAGTTGCGATGAATGGATGTGTACATCATATTTCCAGGGTGCACTGCATTCGATATCACTCCATAGGGAGAGAGTCGGCGGTTGAGCTCATTGGATAGAAGAATATTGCAAAGCTTAGAACGGTTGTAGGCCAGCATAGCCCAGTATTCCTTCTTAGATGGGGAAAGCATGTTGAAGTCAAGTTTTCCAGAGCGGTCTTTAATTTCAGTGAACCTTAAAGAATAAAACAAATTGATTTGGGGATCAGCAAAATTCTTCTCTTGGTTAAAACACTATTTACTCCACTGATAGCCTCACCAGCATAACTGTGCTACGAGTATATATACAAACTAAATTAGGCTGATAGCCATTACAAACAGAAACTTGGCAACTTGGATAAAATGAAACGTAAAATGTCTATAGCAACCACACTATCATATGAAGTTATATGTTGACCCATTCACTTCCTAATCCCTTTTTCCTCACAGCTCTCTACCACTGGAATGCTCTTCCACCTAACAGGCATCCTCTTCTTCCACAGTTAAAGTCAAGTGCCTCCCTTGGACACAGCTGTCCAACCTGGCTTTTTCTGATTAATTTTCTTTACTACTAGCTTCCTTCTGTTCCTTCCTGAATATGTCTAGCCTCCTTGAACTTTAAACTGCAAAAAACAAAGGTTTTGTACATTGCCTAGAGTTTGTATGTTCTTTAAACAAATGGCTGCCCATATGAGAATCATGTAGGAATCTAACACAAGATTTGAGTCATTTTGTACCCCTGAACCTCAGTAAGACTCAGAGTAGGAATAGCTTGAATAGGCACAAGCTTTCTTCAGCCTTGGTACACTGTTCTGGGTCATCTTCTCCAGACCCTGCAGCAAGGCCTGAATTTTGTTGTAGTTAGTCGCGAAGTCGTGTCCGACCCATCGTGACCCCATGGACAACATTCCTCCAGGCCTTCCTGTCTTCCACCATCTCCCGGAATCCACTTAAGCTGACACCAACTGCTTCAGTGACTCCATCTAGCCACCTCATCCTCTGCTGTCCCCTTCTTCTTTTGCCATCTATTGTTCCCTGTATCATGGTCTTCTCCAGGCAGTCCTTCCTTCTCATTAGGTGGCCAAACTATTTGAGTTTCATCTTCAGTATCTGGCCTTCTAAAGAGCAATAAGGGTTGATCTCCTCTAGGACTGACTGGTTTCATCACCTTGCAGTCCAAGGGACTCGCAGGAGTCTCCTCCAGCACCACAATTCAA